CTCCAAAACCCCAAAACCCCAAAACCCCAAAACCCCATTTTCAGATATAAATAATTAATTTCAGCCAAACATGATTTCGAAATTATTTACAAGGAACATCACAAAAGTTTCAAGAGTGTCTGAAGGGCAAAGAAGACTGTTCTGAACAGCCCAGAAAGCTACATCTCAACCTGAAAGCTCACCTGAGTATATTGAAAAGAAGACAAAGAGTGGCGATATAATAAGACTCTCGAATAAACATCCTTATGAGAAAGAAGAAGTGTTTGATGAAATTTTAGCTCCTTCAAACTCTGTTCGCTCTCTAGGTTTCAACTCAGACCTATTCAACTCCTTTGATAAGTAAGTTCCTAGCTAAAACTGCATAGGTACAGCTGAAATCTCAAGAATGAGATTGACTTAATGGAAGCCCATGAGAAAACATTTAACAGGCATGTGAGTTTCTAAACTTTATAGGCCAAGGCTAGGATTGTTAATGAACAAAGTATATATTCCAAAGATTACCACAAAGTTTGTAGCTCCCTTCTTGTACAACGACGGTGAGAACCCTCAGCAACTTATGTACAGTGGAAGACCGGAAAATAGGGTCTTTACGTCTCGATATAAAAATAACAAATATATTTTGGGAATTCAGACAAATTTCGGAAATATTAGTTTATCGCTTGTTAATAAAGAAGCTAAAGTAGCATCATATACAGAGAGTCGAATGTTTAATCACAAAAACACCTTCTCAAAGGTCTCAAGAGATAACTTGATGGAATGGACTGAAGAAACCTTACAGAAATGTTTGAAGGAAGTTTTAAAAAGCTCTGGCTTAAATTACTCCAAAATTCAAGCCATCGTAGTCAATCTCGGGCCAGGAGAGGATCATATCCTTGGTCAAGGACTCCAGTTAGCTAAATAAATTGGGATCAAAGCATTCTCTACCTGTGTATGGAGTGAACAGTCATGAAGCTCATATATTCTCTAACAGGATGGACTCTTTAAAGGAAGGAAAACCAAGTATGAGGCTACCATACTTTAATGTAACCTCTATTTCTGGCTAACACAGTTATAGGTAGTTGCCTCAAACAACTTGACCCAGCTTGCATACACTAAAGATGTAGGAAAACACAGGATCTTCGGTACAACAATTGATATTGGTCTCGGCAACTGACTTGACAAGGTAAGACTCAACCTCACCATCTAGATTTATGTCAAAGGATTCAGGGCATGTAAGTGCAATAGAAAATAATCGTGCGTTTAGATCCAGAATTTGCTAAGGTGTTAAATAACAAAGAACTACAAGAAGAGTAAAAATAACGGATAACATTTAGGTACCTCAACTACTGTCTAAAGAACGGCATTAGGGTCACTCCAAATGATTTTGATTTCTTAAAGAATGAAGACCCATACGGTGGCCAATTCATCGAAAATTTAGGTACAAAGTTGCACTAATCTATAGCAAAATTGGGAAATCCTTTTGAATTTAAGTACACTGTCCCAATGCAGAAAGATAATTCAACAGATCTTTCTTACACAGGTTTCTGGACTTCCGTACTAGCGTCGATAAGGCATAAGAGAGATATGTTCAAAGCACCTGAGAATACAGACCAGATTTCGGTACTCTGTGATATTGCTGCATCTGCACAACACATCGCGTTTAGGCAAGTTGATCTGAAGACCAGAAGAGCCTTGGAGTTAGTGAAAAAGATGAAACTACCCATCAATACTCTCAATCTCTGTGGAGGTTGCTCAGTTAATTCAAAGCTACAAGATGTGATGAAGGAAGTGGCCAAGGATTACCAAATGAGTCTAAGAGTCCCTTCGAAGAAGTTTGGATCGGATAATGCAACCATGATAGCCTGGATGGGGTGGGAATACATCAATTCTAGAAATCCTATCAATATTAATGATAGGAATATCCACCCTCTCAACAACATCCCTCTGGGCAATTATATTGATTATATGGGGTCCTCCTTCAAAGGTGTTGGGAGAGTCAAGAAATTTGGCTCAAAATGGCAAAGAGAGCTAGCAGGTGATAGATAAATATTATTTCCAATGCGAATTAAGTGATCGGGGTTTTGGGGTTTTGGGGTTTTGGGGTTTTGGGGTTTTGGGG